CGCAAAGTCGCTCATTCACATACATCCTATTACTATAGATCAATATCATTGCGTTACTATAGCTCTATAGAGCTTATCATCTTCAAGGTAACCGTACTCTCAGGTTTGCCCAATAACATATGACTTTCTTTGCACCATTCGATTGTTCACAATCTCTACTTTCAGAATGTCACATATTTTGCCGCACAATTATCACTAGGTGACGAGATATGGCTATTTTCTCAATGCTATACGGGTTACCATCTTCGAGCCTGCTGTACTCTCAGCTTTGCCCAGTAACATATAACTTTGTGTGCACCGTTCGATCCGGCGGAATCTCTAAATTCAGAAAAACATATATTTTGTTGAGCAGTTCTGCTCTCTTGAGGAGATATGGCTATTTTCATAAAGCTATCTCAACGACAAGCGCAATGTCGCTCGTTCATAGATATAGTATCACTATAGATCAATATCAATGCGTTACTATAGCTCTACATTGCTTACCATCTTCAAGCCATCTTCGAGCCTACCGTAGCTTGGCCGAGTAACATATGACTTTAAACAGGAACATGTAAGCATGAGAAGAGCAATAATCTATCGTCATTATATTTCGCTCATCAGTGAATCATACCAATGTTCCAAGGACAAAAAATTGTTTCAGAGCTATCATTTTTTGTTGTCTCATTTGATTTGTCGAATTCGTTTTTTCATCGATTTCGTTGCGCTTTCATCGATTTCGCTTGTGTAAACACAACTGCAGCCGACGTCATGCGATGCATATTTTTCTAGCGGTGATCCCATTAAAGTTTAATGATTAAACTGAGAAAGTATGCTTCACTTCTATCACCTTCGTTAAAATTGAATGAAATAACTTTACAGCTCACATAACTTTCATGCTTGCACAAGGAATTCGTAATGAATTTGCCTCTTAATGAACAATTTCAGCATTAATTCACGCGATCTTTGATGCGANNNNGGAATAATGTTCGAAATTTAGAATTTCATTGGGTGTTGGTTCATAGCACTTCATTTAATAATAAATAATTATAATGAAAAATCGCTGCGACGTTTGAAATGAAACGAAATGTCAGCGTTTTTTGAATTTTGTGATTCGATTCCATCATTCACTAACGAAACAATCGAATGAAACAAGTTCGTAAGTTTTTTGTTCCTTTTTTCTGAATGCTTCTAGAAGGAACCAGAGCAAATCGTATGAAGGCATATAGACCACGGCAACCACCAACACCTCTAAATTTTATCACTACACTGAGTTTGAGCACTGAATTCGATTCACGCAGTTGTCAGTTCATTCATTCAAGTTTGTTGTATGCGTTCGGTCCGTTAGATGGATCATCAGTTCGAAGGAAATCTTGAATTCATTTTCATTGTGACATTCATTCATCATACTGATGATAAAATTCATTTTCTCGCAAGTAAGATGCCTTTTAGAACTCACTTCGGTTTTTTGGGCTCATTTTGGGCTTATTTTTTAGCATAATTTCGGGTTGTATCGTTTATTTCGGAACTTGTTTCCAGCTCATTTCGCTGAGGATCATTGGGCAGTGTGAGAGATTTCACCTACATCTCTTCTATCGTCGCCAATTCAGTGATCGAAAATAGGATTTCATAATGATCAGGATGATTCCCTGCGCTAACAGGATGGAAAGAAGAGGGTTGATGAGGGAAGACTGTAATGCATTGAGAAGGAACCAGCTTATTTGTGATACTGGTAACAGTAGAAAGTCGTATAAACTCGTAATAAGTTATTTGAAATGCTGATTTTTTAAAAAGTAATGCTCGGTCGAGTGTGTATAACGCAGCAGTGCTCATGTATCGTCACTTCAAGAAGCAAAAACAAAAGCCATCGATTGATAATTTAGTCGCATTTAGATGAAGGTGATCAACAAGGCCATGCTAATAGCGTTGGAGATTACGTGCTTGTTTCTGTGCCAGATTTCGACACATTCATC